TCCCCCAGCCCAGAGAGAGCAGCGACTCACGGCTGTTTAGCTCTCAAATCTGAGCTGCTGAACAGGAAAACGCTGGGAAAGTGATGTGAAGTGGTCTTTAAATGCGTTTGCAGCGACTCAGCGTTGCCGCTGCGAGCAATCGCAGAAATTTCGGGCCAGGTATCGATCTGCCCGCCCGGCCTTGCAGCAGTGCCAGTTTGCCTTTTACTGAGCGCAAAAGTAAATGTTGATTGAGATTGCTGCATGTAACCAGACAAGGGCGAGAGTACTTTTTGGCTTTGGCATTCCTGGCCTATTTAAAGACAGTTTCTCCGTGGCTTGAGTTACAGCTCAGCAGGAAGGCTCGTGCCTGCATTTCTCCTTTAATGTCCAAATCATAGCAGTGCAATAAAGGAATAAAGTGATAAAATAAAAGATACTGTTTTTACAAATGCAAATACTCTGCTTAAAGTAGCGCAAGGTGTTAATTTTCCCCTTGAGGTCTTCCTTCTAGATGTTGTTTTGAAAATTATTACAAATGAGAATTGTAAGAATTACAACTGCCTTTCACACATAAAAGAAAATGTGTAAGATGTGATAGACAGAAACCTAAGTGCTGCATGCACAGGAGAGCTGTCCTAGTTCCCACAGCTGAGCGCCTCCAGGGAATACCACTGGAGTATTAGAGCTGGTATTTTACGAAGAGCACTCTGCAGTTTGTGGGTCAGAAGGGATTTTGAGTCTGAATTTTCCTCCTTTAGCAAGGAAAAATACTTTTTTTTTGGTGCAACATGGCTGTTGGAATAAAAGACACCACTTTTCAAATTAAAAAATACAATAAGATATGAGCAAGAAATGTACTATTATGAGTGAGAAATGTACGACTATGAAATGTACAAACATGAAATGTACAACTTGTATAAAGTTTGTGTTTCTGGCAATAAGCAGTTCAGTATCTTTGATCTGGTGATCGGCAGCAGGGCCATGTCCCACACTCAGGGTTTCACCCAGGGGTGTTGGAAGCATTGAAAGGGGAAGCTCTGAAAAGCTTCCAATCAGAAAAGTGAAATCCAGTGTTACATGCCGTGTTTTTGTAACTCTCTTTGTATAAGGAGCAGATCACAGAAGCAAAGTCCGAATAAAATGCTGCAGCCCACATCTCGATCACTGTTTCCAGCGTGAGTCTGTGCAGTGAGGGGAGTCAGAGCTTGAGTCATCTTAGAAATCACATTGGAGGAGATGATTCAAGAGCTGGATTACGTGAAAACTAAACATAAGAGAGATGGAAATTATATATCAAGTCTAAGAAAATGCAGGAAACATAAGGCCCTTAAAATTCTTACTGATGTTGAATAATTTGTTTCACTGCATTTGTGGTGTTGTTTGTGAGCTTTTTAATAGGTAGTTTATAAAGGACCCTCAATACTGCTTACACACAACCTCCTCCAGGTGTGGAATCACAATGAATTTTTTCCCCTTCCACTCACAAAAATAGGGGATCAAAGAGGGAATTTGTTTTCAGTGTACTACAGTACACAGCAAACTCTCAACTACTGAGTGAAAAGCCAGCTTGTCTGCTTTGCTTCCTTCTATAAAAGATGAAATATAGTACATTTAAAACCTAACATGGAGCTTTTGGCTTGTTTTTCCATTCTACACTTTTACACTAGTATATTTTTTGCTTGCAAAAGAGTTTTTTTCTGTCATATAAGTAACACCAAAATCAGAAGAAAAGCCTCAATGGCTTTGTTGTAATTTTGTGCAGTCTCTAGAGTCTGATTTTAGTATAATTTATGAGAAAACTGCTTAGGCTATTCTTTAGACTGTTTTGGAAAGTATAGTAAATAAATACAGTGGTTTAGTTAAACATAGTAATTTTGTGTAATAATGAAAGAATGTTTCTTGTGTGATTGTAGAGCAATTTTCCCATTTTTCTAACCTTGAAAAAATTTTTGGCTGATTGTAAAATAAATCCAGAGATAATTTCGTCACTCATTTGGAAAGGATCCTGAATTAGTCTAATGGGAATTGCAGCTTAGCAAGATCTTTTTACACTTGTATAAATCCTCAGGCTTAGTAGTAAAATCTCATTTCAGTATTGAAAGCTTGATGGTGATGTTGTGTTGCCATGGAATCAATCAAATGGGAAAAATTTTGGAATGCCCTGAAGGAACAGACTTTCAGAGCTGCATGTGCTCCAAAAAGCCCAAATACCGCTGGGTTTTCACTTCCAGAAAAGGGAGATTCTCTCCTGCTTCTATTGAAGCCAATGGGAGGCTTGCCACTGATCTCAGTAGGAGCAGGAGCATGCCTGAGTTTTGCAATCCATCTTTTTAAAGTCCTTAAACTGAAGTGTTTGCCGTGCCAATGAGTCCGGGGAGTTGATTTGCATATGATGGCAAATGAGCAGAACCCTGGCTTTGTGTGAATAAGCTGCTGACCACATTCGTGCATAGCAGCCTGCAGAGGAGAAAGAGCTGGCAGGACTCTTTTTTATATAAAATAATGATTAGTCCTTCCTATGTTTAAATTCCTCATGAAGCTTCCAGCAGAGTTCAACAAAGTACCTGTTTGCTGGACAATTCTGTGCAGAGGAGGAGGGAGCAGGGACAAGGGGACTTCTCTTTACATCGGCTGTGCCCTGGCTCTGTTCTCTGAGCTCATTCCCAGCGATTCCCATGATGTCACTTTTAGTAATGGAGACATGTTTACAAAAGAGTACACAGCATCCTCTTTAAAAAGAAACTTTCAACTTGGGGAGCATTACAAAAGTTAGGAAACCAAAAACTGTGTGAGGAGGGAGTAAAGGATCCAGACAAAGGTTCTTTGTTTGCAGTGACCGAACTTGACCTCACATGACTATGAACAATAATGAATATGCAGTTTGGCAGTGGCACAACTCAGTGTCAGCACTATTGCCTTTGGTATACAATATATTAAGAGCATCTGAGAGTGGCAAGTGGCCACAAAATGGGCTGATAAGATTGTATGTAAAAATGCTTTGGGTATACTTAATATCTTCTTTCAAGACAAATGATTTTTTCTTTTCTATTTCATCCCCCTTATCTTGAGAACAAATACAAAATTCATTAGGAGTACAGTGTCTCTCTCCTATGAAATATATTGTGTGTCTGTAATTTTGAAAAGATAAGGGCATTTTAGCCCAAGCTGCTCCTAGCTTTTCCCTTGAACTTGTTACTCACATTAGTACAAAAAAGGCTTTTGTTCTAACAGAAAGATCCAGTATAATTAACTGGGTTAAAACCAGGACAACTAACTTTTACACTTCCAAACTTAGCACCATTTTTCTGTCAAGAAATTACACACATACTTGCATTTTGTACAAATTCTAACTATCCAAAGGGATTTGGCAGTATTTTAAATTTAGCAATGAGAAATGGCAGAATTTGGAACAAGATTCTCCCATACTCATGCCTTGAGCCATTATCTGCCATAACAATGCAGGCTTCCCCCTGCCTGCTATGAGCAAGGGGGATGTATTATAAGGGTGGTTGCAGTTTTTCACTTTTGTTTCTTGAGGGTATTTACAAAGCTGACATTCTATCCAAGAACTCATTTTATGTAAAAAACAACAGATGATGCAACTAATTTACTGCATATAGGCCCTGAGTACTGTTAGATATTCTGAATTATTATGCACTTGTAAATCATTAAAAATTGATGTGTGTAGGGGACTCTGGTGTTTAAAGGATACATTGCATTTGCAGGTACTTCAAGTTTCACTAATAACTTTATTGTTAAGCCAAATAAACTTATACTTGTTGTCAGTTTCTCTGCAAAAAGCAAAGACTTTCTTCTCATCTAGCTCCCTCTCCAGGAATCCAGAACTGCTTTCTACCCTTCCAAAAAAGAAAGCAAGGAATATAATAGAATACAGAGAAATCTAAGAGCTAAGGGCAGTAAGGGCCATTTCAAAAAAAATGGCATTTAATAGAAAAATCATAAAATCATGATCTAATCAAATTTGCTGTGGCTTTTCCTTGAGGCACAGAACAGTGAATTTTTTTAGAATAGCACAACCCCTAATTAATATGAGGTTCTAGGCAAGTGTTTCATCAGTATCTCCAAAGGAGGCACTTTTCACTGCTCGGGTTTGCTCTATTGTGCAGCTGTTGGCTTTAGAAGGACTTGTCACATCTTGTGATATACTGTAGATACTGGAAGCTGGGATCACAGACAGCTCTTTCAACAACAGTGCACAAGAGGCTTTGCAACAGACTGTGTGACCCAGGTGTTGAATTACATTATATCCCACCCCTCCCCTCATTTTCAGGTATTTGGGACTTTAATCAAGGCACTGCTGGGGGGACCCTTGGAAGAGTCTTAATCCCTTTGCAGTGAAAGACACTGATGGTTGGGAAATTTTCACCGAATTTTGGGGACATCTTCTGAAACAACCTGGGAGAGTTATGAAAGTGTCTGGGCATCATTTCTGCTCTGATGCAATGGTCCTGATGCAGTTTGCCATATATTCCACTGCGGGCTTTTCACTCCCGATCCCTTATGTGATTATCTCATATAGATGAACAGAGAGACACCTACAAAGGGCAACACTCCCTGCTCCCCAGTTTATCCAAGCAAACAAAATAGATTTGCTGATTTTGGCTTTGCAAAAAGCACAAAGGAACTAAAAATCCCTATAGATGTCTAGATATATTTCCTTTGTGTCAGTTTCACTAAAAAATAGAAGGTCTCCAGGCTTTAGTTTACCACAGATATACATAACTGATTTTATGTAACAGAAATTTTATCTATGAACACAGTCAACAAAAAGTAAACTATAAATGTTGTCTCAGCACAACAAAATTAACTGAGAACCCTGACAAAAAGCAGATTTTTGCTTCTGGCCTTCTCTCTGCACTAATCTGGCTACACCAGTCGTTACATTCCAATTCTGACACTCAAGTCATGTTGAGCAATTTTCCCACAGTGTGTTTTCCAAACAAAGGCATTTTTCCCACTCCCACTTATGTGTCTCTTGCATCTGGGAACTGCAGAAAAATGTCCTTAAGTCCTAAGATCCAGCCAACCATTGAACTTGTATTACAATGATAGATTTCAAAAACTGTGGGTGATCATTTGACCAAAACTATACCAACTGACCCAGCAAAAGTATACTTTTTCAGTTACTAAATTACAGATATTCAACTCATATAATGATAAAATCTTACACAGTTTTTTTTTCACTGTTTAAAGCATAACCTAATACTTTCCTAAGTACCTTATACCTTCATGAGAACAGAAATCTTTTCATTTGTATACCCTAAACTCTTAAATTGCCTAGTTATTTCAGGATATTCACCTGAAGTGACAGAGGCCTTGAAAAGGTTATAATCTCTTTCTAGATGATGATGTTTTTGCAGGTCCTGTCTTTCCCCTTTATAAAACAACAGAACATATTACTAACTTGGTATTTCACACATGGCCAGCCATTGCTTCAGGAAACTTGCATGGGTCACAGCATGACAGGCTGGATGCATAAAGCTGCTTGTGGGCTAAGTCACCCCACAGCTCTTTCAGATTTAGGATAATGGAGGATCATACATGCTGACTTTATTCTTACTACACTTTCCCCTTTCATTATTTCCACAGGATGAATAAAGCAAGAGTGGTTTCTGGAGGGTTCTGGTTTATTTTACCTTTACCTACAAAGAGAGACTAAATATTTCCAGAAGCAAAGTACCCCAGGCTGTAGGACAGGGACAATCTGAGCCAGGTCTTTTGAGGGAGAGAAGTGACTGTTGCCTTTGTAATCAACTTCATGTCATCAAATTAACCTGAGGTACAAGCGAGGATTATATCAGATTTTGGCTTTAAAAGCCCTGTCTTTCAGAGACACAAAGTTACAAAGAAAAAACATGTCATCCACCATAAAAAAAAATTGAGCAAATTTAAGCACCTGTTTATCAGCATAATTTACTGAAAGCGTCACAGTATTTCAGGTAAACTAGAATTGCTGTTAACAAGCAATAGAACTCAGGCTGAAAGGCAAGAAGAGGAGCCCCCTGAAGCCACAGTGCCTTATTTCTTCTGAGGAAAAACATTAGCAGACTGCAGATAACCACCTCTTCATTTTGTGACGGAACTTTTTAATTAATGTTATGGATTGACTAGACTGGTACAATTGAATCATAGAATCTTAAGGGTTAGGAAGGAACCTTAAAGGTTTTCTAGTCCCAAGCCCCCCTACCATGGGCAGGGACCTGTCCCACTAGACCAAATTGCTCAAGGCCTTATCCATCCTGG